ATTTTTTTGGTTATGACATCGTGGCTTACCATAATTATTGATGTGACATGAATTTTGGTTTGACTAGTATTTTGGATATATTAAATATTATGGGTATTTTGGTCGTATGAAATCAATTTTATTTAGTTCGAGAAAACCCTAATATTGTGGATATATTATGGTTTACAACTGAATCGGTGGATGTACTCTTTTCTTATCATCATAGTACAAACTTTTTTGTCTTGTCCGTGGACGTAGACATCAATGTTGAACCACGTAAATCTTGTATTTTTTCTTTTTTACCTCTTTACTTTGTGTGATTGTGATTGTTTTCTTCAACAATAATTTTTTTTAAAGTAATTGTCAATTTGGTTTAATTCATAAATTTGAGATCTAATCCTTACGATCATAGTCCTTCTATACTTATGTCTACCATCGATAAGGATCCTAATTAGTAATTCATTACTATGGATGAAAACTTGTGTCATACTGTTTCTAGGTTCTCCTTACTCTAGTTCAAATATAAAAAGGTATTTGACATCTTTTTTGGCTCCAAACAAATTCTTCGAAAAGGAGCAAATTTTTAAATATCTTAATTTCTACTGAAAGTTTTTATTACTTTCACAACACATCCTCAAGATTTTAATTTCTTTTCGTTGCAGTACCATTCCGACAAGTTTTCTGCCTTCCATGATGCTTGCTCCTCAGGTGAAAACCCTCCTCAAGAGTATGTACATAAATCTAATTCAGTTTCTCTGGGCTTTTAGATGCTTATTTTAGTTTGACTGGATCATACTCTCAAAGCTGTTTGATACTAGCCAGGTATTGCAGTGTCAATTTTTCTCAAGTCATGAGGATTGCTTTGGAGGTCAGAGCCTTGTGTGAGCTAGGTGACAAGGAAACAAACATGGAACAGATTGGAGAAACTATGTCCCTGCAACAAAATGACGAGAATCTTGAAACTTTACTTGGGGATGAGGATGAAAGGAGGATTAATCAGATTATACAGAAGGACCTTGATCTAGGCAGCTTGTAAGAAGGCATAAGGAATTTCAAGATGATATATTCCAAGGAGAATCCACTGACTTAGAAATATCTGATGTGGATGAGGAGGAATCTCGTGAAGTTTTTTAGAAAATTTAACGAGGAGGATCATACTGATTTAGAGTTGATAAATTTGCCTAGCATGAATTTATTACAAAATGAGAAGGGTCAGGTTAACATGGAAGATGAACTGGAACCAAATACACCTAGTGTAGCTCATGTAGTTGAGGACGAACCTTCTGAAACTGCTAGAGAATTTGGTGAGGAACATCATACTGGTTTAGAGGCAGAAAACTTGCCCAACATGGTTTCATCAGAAAACATGATGTCTCAGTTTAACATAGAAGATGAACCGGAATTAATTACATCTAGTTCCACTGCAGCTCAATGCAATACTTTAAAACTTTCAAGTAAAAGAAGAGTGGAAAAGTTAATCACGCATCCAAATATATACACACACACGTACACACAGAGACACTAGGAATAGGAACATGTTCTTAACAATTTCTATTTTAAGTACTTTCTTTCTATACAGTAGCTAAGACACTGGGATTTAAGGTGATTCCTACATCTGCCACCGGAGATCAGACCTTGAAGAAAGGAAAAAAAATGCTTATCTGATAAGGTTCCTGTGTTATCTACAAGGTAAGTCATGGTTTTGGTGAAATTACCTGTCATATTCTATCCTAAATCATTCCATGCATCAGTAGCAGTTGGTGCCTTTTCAGGTTCTGAATTTATCAAATGCAATAAGTTTGCTAATTTTGAGAAGTAGGTACAATACTTTATTAGAGTTTCAGTAGGATTTCATTTCAGCATAAGTATTTTGGTATTTCTTGAACAAAGAGTGTTATTTCCAAATGACTTCATTAGAGTTTGAGATTTTTGTTAAAGTAATTGGAGAAGAAATGATATTGTTTTCATTCACCCATATGAGTACGTCGACATTTCTTGAAAAGAAAGTGTTATTTCAAAATAACTTCATAACTTCATTAGAACTTGAGACTTTAGTTAATATAATTGGTGATGAGACTTTAGTTAATATAATTGGTGATCCAATGATATTGTTTCCCAAAAAGAAAAGTGTTATTTCTAAATGATTTCGTTAGAACTTGAGATTTTAGTTAATGTAATAGGTGAAACAATGATATTGTTTTCATTCACCCACAAGATGGAAGCACGTAGACATTTCTATACCTTCTATTAATTTCAATAATTATATAGGCAATCATCAAGTGAGAACAATATTTTTTAATTTTGTTTGTTGAAAGAAGGGTAGAAGACTCAAGCACCTTGATATCCAAACGAAAAAAAGCCCCTAATACTGCTCTTACTTTTCGAAGAGCCAACCGTGGTCCCATTATTTCCAAGTTCTCAAAGCCTTTGCTTCCATGTGAGTGGACAACTGTACTTCTTGTTTCATTAGTTCTGACATTCTCAACAAACAACTTATTCCACCTCTTCGTATTTTGGTATTTTGGCTATCTTTGCTAAAGATATTCTTGGCAAATGGTTTATCGGAGCTTAGATCACTTTGCAGTGGAGAGAAATTAAAGGTGTCCGAATCTATTACAATTGTGAAATCTCCTCAGAGATTGGATATGATAGAAAATCTTATTTTTAAAACTTCAAACTAAATAGAGATGGCTCCCGAAACACATATTCAACAGCTATCGTTAGAGAACATTTTCAACAGTTATCAAATGAAGAAGTAGATTATGATCTGCAATCATTTCTTTACGAGTTAACATCAATGAAGCAGCTTGTCCCAGAAACACTAAGATCACTTGAGAACCCTGAAAGCTCCAATTATGATATCATAGATACAACAAGTGAAAATATACTTGAAATTACAGAAGAAGTGATATCTCTTAGCAAGGATAAAGAACTTGATCTCAGTTTAATGAGTTAAGGTAAAAAAACTTGTTTTAATGTCTTTTTTTGCACTTGCTTCATCTTTTGAAGTTGTGTTAGCTGAAGAATATAATATATTTTCTATATTATTTTTTTATTTTCTCTCTTGTATATTCTATTATTGTGTTGTTAAAGATTCATTTTTTCGTTAGTTAAGAGATGAATTTAGTTGAAAGAAATGAGAACCGACTAGGTAAGAAATATTTCAGCTTGATTTAATAGTTGTAATGTGCTATAATCATGGGTTTGTGTAATTTCCTCCATATGGCATTCTGATATGATCCTGTCTTCTTTGTAGATGGATGGTCCGTGAGAACAAGGTGAAGCAGACATGCATTTGAATTTTTTGATTTATACATATGTATCTTAGAAATTTTTTTTATAAGACCCCTTCATTTTCTTGAGATTTGTGTTTACACAGGGGTGACAAACTATTTGGAGAGAACTTTTGAAGACCAAAGGGAAAAGCACGAGAATGAAGTGGTGAATCTATTGCAAGTTTCAGAAGGAAAAACCAGAAAAGGAAATTCAAGGCTTTTTTATGAGATACTAGTAAGTTTCATATGTTTTTCTATAAAGAGCAAAATATAGTTTCACCTCCTATTGACTAGTCTTATTTAGATTTTGTAAATTTTTTGTGATTTCATTTCTTAGTGTATATTTATGCGTGTGTGATCTTTTAAACATGAACATTTTTTTAATATTTAAATTAAACTCTAATAAACTCTTTAATTAAACGATTGTTGTATATTTTTCTCTATAAGAGATTGTGAATTCTAATTAAATAGTGTATTCTTATTAGAAAATCATATTATAATTGATGCAAATGTATCACCTAATTACGAAATGTATGTACTTTTACCTAAAAAAAAATTTAAGAACAAATAAATTAAACTCTTGAAGAAAAAACCTAAAGATCATTTTTTTCTTGAATGCGTTCAGTAATAGTCTTTATGATTAATCTTAAACACAACCAAAAACCATGAAGGAAAAGATCATCCTCCGTACATGAGCTTGTCTTTGTTTTTGACATTATGAAACTGGGGAATACTGCAAGCCGAAGTCTAACAATGGTGGTTTTGTATCTTGTTTAGGTACTAAAAATAAAGGGTATGTGGATGTGAAGCAAGAAAATGCATATGGTGACATTCTGGTACGGTAAACTCCTAAGTTGGATGAGTTGCTTCCATGGAAATAATATATAGAGCAGAAAACTGTCATAATATACCATCACCTTTTTATAATTATAGCAGAGAGATAGATTCAGAATATTGTATTGGTGCAGTTTCTGTATAAATTGGATTTTGGGTGTTGTTATAGTAGAAAAGAGTAAGAGCGAGTTAGTAAATGATGTAAATATCATTTTGGGTAGATAGGTAAAACATTTACCATTTAAATAGATAAAAGTTTAGTCAATAAAAGGTAACCATTTTTTTGCTTCAATTTTTTCTGGGGCAAAAAAAGGAGTTTTTTTTTTAGTTTCTAAAAGTATTATTGGTCATAGAACTGTAACCATTACGCCATGGAAAAAACAACCGACGGCTCGGGGGATGGCTGCGAGTTTCGACCTGTCAATCTTCTTCAACTTCATCGTCTGAAACTGAATCTGACTACTGGTGTTATTCCGTTGCTCAACATGGCGGCCGGATTATTAGGCTTTGTCATCTTGAAGGCTTACACTGTCTTCCTCCAAAACTTTGGACTCCTCAAACACTCTTTTAACAGACAGTAAAACACTGTCATTCAGACCTGCATTGTTGCTCCCTCTGGCATTGCCTTTAGCAGTAAGCTTATTCATTCATCCCTTCCTCATGCCTTTATTATATATAAGGATAGAGAGAATGATATATATAGTTTTGAAATTTATAACCTGGGGATGAGTGGGAGGGTGGCTGCTCAGGCTGAAACTGGAAACATTCCAGTGAATGTCAAGGCACTTTTCTCTAGGCTGGATGATTGGATTTCTATTCGTAGTCAGCTTTTATGTGTGCATCTAAGAAAGGATAACTATTGGATAAAAGTTGGATTTACTTGTGTTAACTGAGTAGTATTATTCATATTCCCTGTACTCGTAAATAATCTATGTAACACTCAGGTAAGGTTAACTATCAATGAAGCTAAAGACAATTTGAAAATATAGTGATGACTTCAAAAGTCTTTGCAGGATTAATGTAAATATCAGGAGAGAAAAATGCGGAGAATCTCATACCACAAGGAGCTTGTGCAGTAATGATGCATGGTACACCATGATATTCTTTTGCAGCATTAGCAGTTAAGGAATATCCTGCAATCAAATTAACTATAAAGTCAGGACTAAGGACTTTGTGTATTATGACCCGAGCTTCTTAAACCAAATTAAACCAAACAACTGAACAAAACGAAAAGAAAACGAGGCTTCTAAGAACAGCAACAAAAACAATTTAGCAACTTAAACCAGTAGTTGAAAACCAAAAAAAAAAAAAAAAAAAAAAAAAAAATTCAATTCAGAATTTTAATTTTGGACAGTCATTTGGAGAAGAAGATGAAAGTGGTTGTGAAATAACTGCTTTTTATAGTGTTGGAAGTCAAGTATAAAGGATTAGTGAAATTAATTCATGATTTAGTTAAGAAGAACAGATTTTGGCTGGTGATAATAAATATGATACTGCTGTTTGAATATTCACAATTGATAATATCATTTGATTAATTTGTGAAAATTTTTTATTTTACGTATACAAGTTCAAAGTTTAAAGCCAGGAATCCAATATGATCAGTTACTCAAATATGTTGCAACTATATTCTTCAGATACTTCAAAAACATACTCAATTAATAATACCCACAACTATATATAAACTTTAAGTTAGCTAGAAGCTGGTTGTTCTGTATATTTACAACTCTCCCACAAAATCGGTAAGTTAGATCCTTGCTGGAGAGCAAGGGTAAGAGTCTCACAAAAGCTGTGAACCCTTAAAGAGGTAAAGGCTTGTTGCCTTACCTTGGAAAATTTTGTTTTGAAAGCTGTTAAGAAAAATGAATTATATTATTCATTTTGACTAACTATTTTCGTACTAACAATGCTAATTAAGTTTTTAAGTTATCAAGTATGGTGCGATGGCAATTTTTGATTTTTTTTGCTGCAACGCCGCTAGATTTTATCAGCGATTTCTGTCTCATGCGTCGGCCCTTTTGTTCTGATTTGGTTATGGAGGTGTTCAAAATCGAATTTCGAGCAAATGAATTTTTTTTTACCTTTTTTGGCAGTCGGAGGTGGTTCCAGCACGGCGGCGAGCGACGGTCGACTCCCTTCCCGGCGACTGGTTCTTCTTCTCTGGCGCCAGGGGGAAGGGGCTGGCGGCTAAGGTTAGGGTTTGGTGTGAAGTGAGGTATTTATATCCATCTCCTTTTCGTCCATCGCGTTTAATTTGAACCGTTCGATCGTGTTTAAATAGAAAATGAATCTGCATCGTTCATTACGATTTGATCTGCACCGTACGATCGCGTTTAACGAGGGAATGAATCTGCACCGTTTATCGCGTTTAATCGCGATCGTCCGATTGCGCTTGAAGAGAGAACGAATCTGTACTGTCCACACGCGTGGGAACAAATCTGGACGTCCGATCACGGGCAAGTGGATCACCAGCGTGACCTCCTGCTGACACCGCATCAGTGTGCCTTGCCACGCGGTGCGCTCCGGTTCGTCGTGACTGCTGACTGGGCGGTGCTACGTGGCACATTTATCCTAAATTGCATTTTAACTCCTACTTTCTGACTTTTCTTTCAAAAACACCCCCAGAACCCAAATTTTCACCCATTTTTTTCAATTTCATTATCCACCTATTTTTTCATAATTTTTACATTAAATAAAAATTAATAAATTAAAAAATTAAATTTTATACATTAATTTTAAATTTTTTTAAAAATTAATTAAGGGTATTACAAGAGTAACGTCGCTCAATGCCATGTTACTCAAAAAATGTT